TACTGAGGGCCACAGAATCGTTACTTAGGGCCACAGAAACGTTACTTAGGGCCACAGAATTGTTACTTAGGGACAGACACAGAATTGTTACTGAGGGACACACAGAATTGTTACTGAGGGCCACAGAATTGTTACTTAGGGCCACAGAAACGTTACTTAGGGCCACAGAATTGTTACTTAGGGACAGACACAGAATTGTTACTGAGGGACACAGAAACGTTACTGAGGGCCACAGAATCGTTACTTAGGGCCACAGAATTGTTACTTAGGGACAGACACAGAATTTTACTGAGGGACACAGAATTGTTTACTTAGGGCCACAGAAACGTTACTTAGGGCCACAGAAACGTTACTTAGGGCCACAGAATTTGTTACTTAGGGACAGACACAGAATTGTTACTGAGGGACACAGAATTGTTACTAAGGGCCACAGAAACGTTACTTAGGGCCACAGAAACGTTACTTAGGGCCACAGAATCGTTACTTAGGGCCACAGAAACGTTACTTAGGGACACAGAATTGTTACTTAGGGACAGAAGAATTGTTACTTAGGGACACAGAATTGTTACTGAGGGACACAGAAATTGTTACTGAGGGCCACAGAATCGTTACTTAGGGCCACAGAACGTTACTTAGGGCACAGAAACGTTACTTAGGGACAGACACAGAATTGTTACTGAGGGACACAGAATTGTTACTGAGGGCCACAGAAACGTTACTTAGGGCCACAGAAACGTTTACTTAGGGCCACAGAATCGTTACTTAGGGCCACAGAAACGTTACTTAGGGCCACAGAATTGTTACTTAGGGACAGACACAGAATTGTTACTCAGGGACACAGAATTGTTACTGAGGGCCACAGAATTGTTACTTAGGGCCACAGAAACGTTACTTAGGGCCACAGAAACGTTACTTAGGGACAGACACAGAATTGTTACTTAGGGACACAGATTTGTTACTGAGGGCCACAGAATTGTTACTTAGGGCCACAGAAACGTTACTTAGGGCCACAGAATTGTTACTCTAGGGACAGACACAGAATTGTTACTGAGGGACACAGAATTGTTACTGAGGGACACAGAAACGTTACTTAGGGCCACAGAAACGTTACTTAGGGCCACAGAAATCGTTACTTAGGGCCACAGAAACGTTACTTAGGGCCACAGAATTGTTACTTAGGGACAGACACAGAATTGTTACTGAGGGACAGAAATTGTTACTGAGGGCACAGAACCGTTACTTAGGGCCACAGAAACGTTACTTAGGGCCACAGAAACGTTACTTAGGGCCACAGAAACGTTACTTAGGGCCACAGAAACGTTACTTAGGGCCACAGAATCGTTACTTAGGGCCACAGAATCGTTACTTAGGGCCACAGAAACGTTACTTAGGGCCACAGAATTGTTACTTAGGGCCACAGAATTGTTACTTAGGGCCACAGAATTGTTACTTAGGGACACAAACAGAATTGTTACTGAGGGACACAGAATTGTTACTTAGGGCCACAGAAACGTTACTTAGGGCCACAGAAACGTTACTTAGGGCCACAGAAACGTTACTTAGGGCCACAGAATTGTTACTTAGGGCCACAGAAACGTTACTTAGGGCCACAGAAACGTTACTTAGGGCCACACAGAATTGTTACTTAGGGACACAGAAATGTTACTGAGGGACACAGAATTGTTACTGAGGGCCACAGAATCGTTACTTAGGGCCACAGAAACGTACTTAGGGCCACAGAAACGTTACTTAGGGGGACAGACACAGAATTGTTACTGAGGGACACAGAAATGTTACTGAGGGCCACAGAAATTGTTACTTAGGGCCACAGAAACGTTACTTAGGGCCACAGAATCGTTACTTAGGGCCACAGAAACGTTACTTAGGGCCACAGAATTGTTACTTAGGGCAGACACAGAATTGTTACTTAGGGACACAGAATTGTTACTGAGGGCCACAGAAACGTTACTTAGGGCCACAGAAACGTTACTTAGGGCCACAGAAACGTTACTTAGGGACAGACACAGAATTGTTACTGAGGGACACAGAATTGTTACTGAGGGCCACAGAACCGTTACTTAGGGCCACAGAAACGTTTACTTAGGGACACAGAATTGTTACTCAGGGACACAGAATTGTTACTGAGGGTTACAGAAATTGTTGTTACTGAGGGACACAGAAACGTTACTTAGGGCCACAGAAACGTTACTTAGGGCCAGACACAGAATCGTTACTTAGGGCCACAGAAACGTTACTTAGGGGCACAGAATTGTTACTTAGGGACAGACACAGAATTGTTACTGAGGGCCACAGAATTGTTACTGAGGGCCACAGAATTGTTACTTAGGGCCACAGAAATTGTTACTTAGGGCCACAGAAACGTTACTTAGGGCACAGAAACGTTACTTAGGGCACAGAAACGTTACTTAGGGGCCACAGAATTGTTACTTAGGGCCACAGAATTGTTACTTAGGGACACAGAATCGTTACTTAGGGCCACAGAAACGTTACTTAGGGCCACAGAAACTGTTACTTAGGGCCACAGAATTGTTACTTAGGGACAGACACAGAATTGTTACTGAGGGGACACAGAAATGTTACTGAGGGAAACAGAACCGTTACTTAGGGCCACAGAAACGTTACTTAGGGCACACAGAAACGTTACTTAGGGGGCCACAGAATCGTTACTTAGGGCCACAGAAACGTTACTTTACTTAGGGCCACAGAAACGTTACTTAGGGGGCACAGAATTGTTACTCAGGGACAGACAGAAGAATTTTACTCAGGGACAGACACAGAATTGTTACTCAGGGGACACAGAATTGTTACTGAGGGACACAGAATTGTTACTGAGGGACACAGAAATTGTTACTTACTCAGGGACACAGAATTGTTACTGAGGGACACAGAATTGTTACTTACTGGGACAGGGACAGACACAGAATTGTTACTCAGAGACAGACACAGAATTGTTACTCAGGGACAGACACAGAATTGTTACTCAGGGACAGACACAGAATTGTTACTGAGGGACACAGAATTGTTACTGAGGGACACAGAAATGTTACTTAGGGCCACAGAAACGTTACTCAGGGACACAGAATTGTTACTCAGGGACAGACACAGAATTGTTACTCAGGGACAGACACAGAATTGTTACTGAGGGACACAGAATTGTTACTGAGGGACACAGAATTGTTACTGAGGGCACAGAAACTGTTACTTAGGGCCACAGAAACGTTACTCAGGGACACAGAATTGTTACTCAGGGACACACAGAATTCTTACTCAGGGACAGACACAGAATTGTTACTCAGGGACACAGAATTTATTACTCAGGGACACAGAATTGTTACTGAGGGACACAGAATTGTTACTGAGGGCACAGAATTGTTACTTAGGGCCACAGAGAACTGTTACTTAGGGCCACAGAGAAAGTTACTTAGGGCAAGAGAAAACGTTACTTAGGGACACAGAATTGTTACTCAGGGACAGACACAGAATTGTTACTCAGGGACAGACACAGAATTGTTACTCAGGGACACAGAATTGTTACTGAGGGACACAGAATTGTTACTGAGGGACACAGAATTGTTACTGAGGGACACAGAATTGTTACTCAGGGAGGTTACACAGAATTGTTACTCAGGGACACAGAGAATTGTTACTGAGGGACACAGAATTGTTACTGAGGGACACAGAATTGTTACTGAGGGCCACAGAACAGTTACTTAGGGCCACAGAAACGTTACGGAGGGACACAGAATGGACACAGAATTGTTACTCAGGGACAGACACAGAATTGTTACTCAGGGACACAGAATCGTTTGAATTAAAGAGTATGTCAGACAACATGCAGAGGAGTGGCAGAGGAGAGGCAATGTTTACTCAGGAGCGAGCAGACTGGCAGCAGAGGAAGGGGTCGAGGCAACTACTTCGCAGGGACAGAGCCAGAATTGCTTACCGGTGTCATCCAGTACAGTGAGGGAAGAGCTAACAGAGGGCGGTCAGGAACGGGGGGAGACATCCGCCTCTTCAGCAGCCAGGCGAAGAAGTAGTTACTGGCGAGGAGAGTGGCTCGGTAGCCGGTCTAGAGACAGGTCTGTCAGACCATGCCCACACGCAGCCGAGGGGGCTAGTAGTGAGGCGGGACCCTAATTGATGATGATGAGGCTGATCGCACTTGACAGCCTCGTCGTCATCAGGCTATTGCTTCCGCATCATCAATCAGGAAGAGGGTGGCAGCTTGGCAGCGGAGCAAAACAGTCGGTGGGTTGTCTCCATCGCCACACTCTGCCATGTGCCACTTTCAGGTCTCCTCACACACTGCTGGTGTGTTCCATTTTTTGTCATAGGGTGCTGGCAGATTACGGGCCTCCCATAGCTGCTGCTGCCAGGCCCCTAATCTGCCATGGGCCCCTGTAAACCCGCCTCCTCATGCTGCTGCCAGGTCCACAGTGTCTCATGCCATGTGCCACTTTCAGGTCTCCTCACACACTGCTGGTGTGTTCAATTTTTTGACATAGGGTGCTGGCAGATTACGGGCCTCCCATAGCTGCTGCCAGGCCCCTAATCTGCCATGGGCCCCTGTACCGCCTCCTCATGCTGCTGCCAGGTCCACAGTCCCTGTCGGCCTCCCATGCCATGTGCCACTTTCAGGTCTCCTCACACTGCTGGTGTGTTCCATTTTTTTGACATAGGGTGCTGGCAGATTACGGGCCTCCCCATAGCTGCTGCCAGGCCCCTAATCTGCCATGGGCCCCTATACCGCCTCCTTGCTGCTGCCAAGTCCAGAGTCTCTCTCATGGGTCCCTGTACGGCCTCCCATTGCTGCTGTCTCCATCGCCACACTCTGCCATGTGCCACTTTCAGGTCTCCTCACACACTGCTGGTGTGTTCCATTTTTTGTCATAGGGTGCTGGCAGATTACGGGCCTCCCATAGCTGCTGTGCCAGGCCCCTAATCTGCCATGGGCCCCTAGTACCCCTAACCGCGCCTCCTCATGCTGCTGCCAGGTCCACAGTGTCTCATGGGTCCCTGTACGGCCTCCCATTGCTGCTGTCTCCATCGCCACACTCTGCCATGTGCCACTTTCAGGTCTCCTCACACACTGCTGGTGTGTTCCATTTTTTGACATAGGGTGCTGGCAGATTACGGGCCTCCCATAGCTGCTGCCAGGCCCCTAATCTGCCATGGGCCCCTGTACCGCCTCCTCATGCTGCTGCCAGCCAGGTCCAGAGTGTGTCTCATGGGTCCCTGTACGCCTCCCATTGCTGCTGCCAGAGGCAGCATCGCCACAGTGTGCATGGAGGCCAAAAACGCCACTTTCAGTCTCCTCACACTGCTGCTCCACTGCAGTTCCATTTTTTGACATAGGGTGCTGTGCAGATTACGGGCCTCAGCCATAGCTGCTGCCAGCGCCCCTAATCTTCTACATGGGCCCCTATACCCCTCCTGCCATCCTCATGCTGCTCCAGGCCAAGTGTCTCTCATGGGTCCCGACGGCCTCCCATTGCTGCTATGTCCATGACATGTGGCACAGCCATGTCCACTTTCAGGTCTCCTCACACTGCTGGGTTACATTTTTTGTCATATGCAGGTGCTGGCAGATTACGGGCCTCCCATAGCTGCTGCCAGGCCCCTAATCTGCCATGGGCCCCTGTACCGCCTCCTCATCATGCTGCTGCCAGGTCCACAGTGTCTCATGGGTCCCTGAACCGCCTCCCATTGCTGCTGTCTCCATCGCCACACTCTGCCATGTGCCACTTTCAGGTCTCCTCACACTGCTGGTGTGTTCCATTTTTTGTCATAGGGTGCTGGCAGATTACGGGCCTCCCATAGCTGCTGCCAGGCCCCTAATCTGCCATGGGCCCCTGTACCGCCTCCTCATCTGCTGCCAGGTCCAGAGTCTCCACAGTCCCTGTCGGCCTCATGCCATTGCTGCTTTCTCCATCGCCACACTCTGCCATGTGCCACTTTCAGGTCTCCTCACACACTGCTGGTGTGTTCAATTTTTTGTCATAGGGTGCTGGCAGATTACGGGCCTCCCATAGCTGCTGCCAGGCCCCTAATCTGCCATGGGCCCCTATACCCGCCTCCTCATGCTGCTGCTGCCAGGTCCAGAGTCTGTCATGGGTCCCTGTACGGCCTCCCATTGCTGCTGTCTCCATCGCCACACTCTGCCATGTGCCACTTTCAGGTCTCCTCACACTGCTGGTGTGTTCCATTTTTTGTCATAGGGTGCTGGCAGATTACGGGCCTCCCATAGCTGCTGCCAGGCCCCTAATCTGCCATGGGCCCCTATACCGCCTCCTCATGCTGCTGCCAGGTCCAGAGTCTCTCATGGGTCCCTGTACGGCCTCCCATTGCTGCTGTCTCCATCGCCACACTCTGCCATGTGCCACTTTCAGGTCTCCTCACACTGCTGGTGTGTTCCATTTTTTGTCATAGGGTGCTGGCAGATTACGGGCCTCCCATAGCTGCTGCCAGGCCCCTAATCTGCCATGGGCCCCTGTACCGCCTCCTCATGCTGCTGCCAGGTGGGTCCACAGTGTCTCATGCCATGTGCCACTTTTTCAGGTCTCCTCACACTGCTGGTGTGTTCCATTTTTTGTCATAGGGTGCTGGCAGATTACGGGCCTCCCAGCTAGCTGCTGCCAGGCCCCTAATCTGCCATGGGCCCCTATACCGCCTCCTCATGCTGCTGCCAAGTCCAGAGTCTGTCATGGGTCCCTGTACGGCCTCCCATTGCTGCTGTCTCCATCGCCACACTCTGCCATGTGCCACTTTCAGGTCTCCTCACACTGCTGGTGTGTGTTTTTTTGACATAGGGTGCTGGCAGATTACGGGCCTCCCATAGCTGCTGCCAGGCCCCCTAATCTGCCATGGGCCCCTATACCGCCTCCTCATGCTGCTGCCAGGTCCAGAGTCTCTCATGGGTCCCCTGTACGGCCTCCCATTGCTGCTGTCTCCATCGCCACACTCTGCCATGTGCCACTTTCAGGTCTCCTCACACACTGCTGGTGTGTTCAATTTTTTTGACATAGGGTGCTGGCAGATTACGGGCCTCCCATAGCTGCTGCCAGGCCCCTAATCTGCCATGGGCCCCTATACCGCCTCCTCATGCTGCTGCCCAGGTCCAGAGTCTCTCATGGGTCCCTGTACGGCCTCCCATTGCTGCTGTCTCCATCGCCACACTCTGCCATGTGCCACTTTCAGGTCTCCTCACACTGCTGGTGTGTTTCCATTTTTTGTCATAGGGTGCTGGCAGATTACGGGCCTCCCATAGCTGCTGCCAGGCCCCTAATCTGCCATGGGCCCCTAATCTGCCATGCTGCCAGGTCCAGAGTGTCATGGGTCCCTGTACGCCTCCTCATTGCTGCTGTGCCATCGCCACACTGTCTCATGCCATGTGCCACTTTCAGGTCTCCTCACACTGCTGGTGTGTTGAATTTTTTTGACATAGGGTGCTGGCAGATTACGGGCCTCCCATAGCTGCTGCCAGGCCCTAATCTGCCATGGGCCCTATACCGCCCCTCATGCTGCTGCCAGGTCCAGAGTCTGTCATGGGTCCCTGTACGGCCTCCCATTGCTGCTGTCTCCATCGCCACACTCTGCCATGTGCCACTTTCAGGTCTCCTCACACACTGCTGGTGTGTTCCATTTTTTGTCATAGGGTGCTGGCAGATTACGGGCCTCCCATAGCTGCTGCCAGGCCCCTAATCTGCCATGGGCCCCTGTACCGCCTCCTCATGCTGCTGCCAGGTCCACAGTGTCTCATGCCATGTGCCACTTTCAGGTCTTTCAGGTCTCACACTGCTGGTGTGTTCAATTTTTTGACATAGGGTGCTGGCAGATTACGGGCCTCCCATAGCTGCTGCCAGGCCCCTAATCTGCCATGGGCCCCTGTACCCGCCTCCTCATGCTGCTGCCAGGTCCACATGGGTCCCTGTACGGCCTCCCATTGCTGCTGTCTCCATGCCACACTCTGCCATGTGCCACTTTCAGGTCTCCTCACACACTGCTGGTGTGTTCCATTTTTTGACATAGGGTGCTGGCAGATTACGGGCCTCCCATAGCTGCTGCCAGGCCCCTAATCTGCCATGGGCCCCTATACCGCCTCCTCATGCTGCTGCCAGGTCCAGAGTCTCTCATGGGTCCCTGTACGGCCTCCCATTGCTGCTGTCTCCATCGCCACACTCTGCCATGTGCCACTTTCAGGTCTCCTCACACTGCTGGTGTGTTCCATTTTTTTTTGTCATAGGGTGCTGGCAGATTACGGGCCTCCCATAGCTGCTGCCAGGCCCCTAATCTGCCATGGGCCCCTGTACCGCCTCCTCATGCTGCTGCTGCTGTCATGGGTCCACCCATGTCTCATGCCATGTGTGCCACTTTCAGGTCTCCTCACACTGCTGGTGTGTTGAATTTTTTGACATAGGGTGCTGGCAGATTACGGGCCTCCTATAGCTGCTGCCAGGCCCCTAATCTGCCATGGGCCCCTATACCGCCTCCTCATGCTGCTGCCATGTCCAGAGTCTGTCATGGGTCCCTGTACGGCCTCCCATTGCTGCTGTCTCCATCGCCACACTCTGCTGCCATGTGCCACTTTCAGGTCTCCTCACACTGCTGGTGTGTTGAATTTTTTGACATTGGGTGCTGGCAGATTACGGGCCTCCCATAGCTGCTGCCAGGCCCCCTATAATCTGCCATGGGCCCCTGTACCGCCTCCTCATGCTGCTGCCAGTCCCACAGTGTCACTCATGCCATGTGCCACTTTCAGGTCTCCTCACACTGCTGGTGTGTTCAATTTTTTTTGACATAGGGTGCTGCTGGCAGATTACGGGCCTCCTATAGCTGCTGCCAGGCCCCTAATCTGCCATGGGCCCCTATACCGCCTCCTCATGCTGCTGCCAGGTCCAGAGTCTCTCATGGGTCCCTGTACGGGCCTCCCATTGCTGCTGTCTCCATCGCCACACTCTGCCATGTGCCACTTTCAGGTCTCCTCACACACTGCTGGTGTGTTCCATTTTTTGACATAGGGTGCTGGCAGATTACGGGCCTCCCATTGCTGCTGCCAGGCCCCTAATCTGCCATGGGCCCCCGTACCGACTCCTCATGCTGTGACGTTGCAACAAGGTGGAATTCAACCCTACATATGTTAGACCGCCTTTACGAACAGCAAAAGGCCATCACAGATTTCCTGATGTTAAAAGCGGATAAAGGTACTCCCCTGTGTAACTTAGATGTCAGCCATTGGCAGCTCATGCGTGACACCTGCGCTTGCTCGGCCCTTTGAGGAGGCCACGCTATTCGTGAGTCGGCAGGACTATGGGATGAACGACGTCATTCCTCTGTTGCACGTCCTGGAACAAATGCTGTTAACAATGGCTGGTCAGGGTGCGGTAGACGTGGCGCACAGATCTCAACGCCACATGACCCCTGTGGGGGCAGGACAGGAAGAAGAGGAGGAGGTAGAGGAGGACATTGGTGCTCTCAGGAATTATTGAGTGAAATGGGTGGTTTTTCCCACTCAGCGGACAGGAGTGGAGGAGCAGGAGCATCTGGTAGAGGAGGAGGAGAGGAGACAGAGGACCCAGACGCACCGTGGCAGTATGCTGTGGAGATGGAGGCAGGGAGTCCCTCGCATTCCTTGGCACAAATGGCCCATAGCATGCTCGCTTGCTTGCGTAGCGACAGCCGAATAATAACCATCAGACAGAGGGATGACTTTTGGCTGTCCACCTTGTTGGACCCTCGCTACCGTTCAAAATGGTGGCCTTTTTCACACCTGCTGAGAGGGAGGCCAAAATAACGTACTATAAAAACCACCTATGTAGTCAGCTGGTCTCTGCCTGTCTGCGCCAACGTCCATCCTCAGACACTGTGGGCCCTGTGCGCTCGCGTTCCGCTGCCATGGCAGCAGGGGAGGGGTGGGGTGGTAGGAGCAGTGGCAGCTCCACCAGCAGCAGCTGCCTCAGTCTGCAGTCGATGATGAGTAGCTTTCTTCACCAGCGCAGTGAGGAAACTACTAACCAGCCGCAGCAGCAGCAGCAGCAGCATCAGCATCAGGACCTGGAGCAGGACCTCAAACAACAGGCTTAGGCCTACTTGGACAGCACCCTGCCAACCGAGGTAGACAATCCCCTTGACTACTGGGCAACGAAACTTGACCTTTGGCCCCAACTAGCTGAATTTGCCCTTGAAAGGCTGTCATGCCCGGCCAGTAGCGTGGCATCGGAGCGGTGTTTAGTGCGGCAGGAGGTATTGCAAACTCCGCGGAGGACACGACTGTCCACCCAAAGTGTGGAGAGACTCACGTTTGTGAAAATGAATCAGGCGTGGATTAGTCTGGATTTCAAACCACCAGTTCCTGACACAACTGACTAAATCCGCCATGAATCATGCATGCCCCAAACATGTGCCACTTTCAGGTCTCCTCACACTGCTGGTGTGTTTCATTTTTTGTCATAGGGTGCTGGCAGATTACGGGCCTCCCATAGCTGCTGCTGCCAGGCCCCTAATCTGCCATGGGCCCCTATACCGCCTCCTCATGCTGCTGCCAAGTCCAGAGTCTCTCATGGGTCCCTGTACGGCCTCCCATTGCTGCTGTCTCCATCTCCACACTCTGCCATGTGCCACTTTCAGGTCTCCTCACACACTGCTGGTGTGTTCCATTTTTTGTCATAGGGTGCTGGCAGATTACGGGCCTCCCATAGCTGCTGCCAGGCCCCTAATCTGCCATGGGCCCCTATACCGCCTCCTCATGCTGCTGCCAGGTCCAGAGTCTCTCATGGGTCCCTGTACGGCCTCCCATTGCTGCTGTCTCCATCGCCACACTCTGCCATGTGCCACTTTCAGGTCTCCTCACACTGCTGGTGGGTTCCATTTTTTGTCATAGGGTGCTGGCAGATTACGGGCCTCCCATAGCTGCTGCCAGGCCCCTAATCTGCCATGGGCCCCCGTACCGACTCCTCATGCTGCTGCCAGGCCCGTAACTGTACCGCCTCCTCATGCTGCAGCCAGGTCCAGAGTGTGTCATGGGCCCCCGTACCGACTCCTCATGCTGCTGCCAGCCCAGTAATCTGTCATTTGCCCCTGTACCACTCTCCCATGCTGCTGCCATGGTCCAGAGTGTGTCATGGGTCCCCTGTTGGCCTCCCATTGCTGCTGCCAGGCCCTAATCTGCCATGGGCCCCCGTACCAACTCCTCATGCTGCTGCCAGGCCCGTAATCTGTCATGGCCCCTGTACCCGACCTTCGCCTCCTCATGCTGCTGCCTAGGTCCAGAGTGTGTCATGGGCCCCCGTACCGACTCCCTCATGCTGGCTGCCAGGCCCGTAATCTGTCATGGGCCCCTGTACCGCCTCCCCATCTGCTGCTGCCAGGTCCAGAGTGTGTCATGGTCCCTGTACGGCCTCCCATTGCTGCTGCCAGGCCCGTAATCTGCAATGGGCCCCCGTACCAACCTCCTCATTAGCTGCTGCCAGGCCCGTAATTCTGTCATGGCCCCTGTACCGCCTCCTCATGCTGCGTGCCAGGTCCAGAGTGTGTCATGGGTCCTGTACCGGCCTCCCATTGCTGCTGTCTCCAATCGCCACACTCTGCCATGTGCCACTTTCAGGTCTCTCCTCACACTGCTGGTGGTTTCCATTTATTTGTCATAGGGTGCTGTATGGCCTCCCATTGCTGCTGGCCTCCTACCGCCACACTGTGGCTCCACACTCTGGTTTTGGCCCCGTGACTGCCCAAATGAGTGAAGTGTGCGGTGATTCTAAGATTCGACGGCACTCATCTGCATGTCATACTGACTGGTCAGTATTAATTTCTCTTCCCCAGCAGACTCCAAGGGCATTTAAATTAAAGGTACAGTGTTCAGCACTAATATAAAGGCTCTCTGAAGCCTAGAAACACCCTTTTATAATTAAATTCGCAGCGAATATATTCGACGCGAATCAAAAATTTTTCCACGAATTCGCCGAATCAGTCGAATCTCGAATTTTTGAATACTTCGCTCATCTCTAATTAAGAGCATCATTTGTAACTTTCACACAGACTAAAAATAATACACTGATTTAGGTTATTTTTAACCAAAAAAATGTAGCAGACTACATTTTGTCCTAAATCTATAAAGACAGATTATCTGTTTGCAATTTTTTTTAACAGAATCTAGGAAAAACAGGTTCTTTCTCAAAGTTTGTCAGTATTTTTTCATAGATATAACATAAAAACCCAGTGGTGATGAAATACCACCAAAAGAAAGTGTTGAAAAAATTATATAAATTTCATATGAATACAATGTTGCATGACCGCACAATTGCCAGTTAAAGTAGCGCAGTGCTGAATAGAAAAAAACTGCCCTGGTCATGAAAGGGTAAAACTTTCCAGGAGTCAAGTGGTTAATAAACTTTGTGTTACGTACCTGGCAGGAGACTGAATTGAGGAGGTTGGCCTCTCTTTGTGTCTCCGGCCCAGGCCCCACTGAAGGTGGAACAGATGGTACCAAGGGACAGGAGGAACACAAGTGCTGGCATGTTGACTTGCAGCAGCAGGTGCAGGCTTGAGAAGTCAGACAGGACATTAGGCCAGGAGAAGATGTGATGCATGCTGGAGCAGCTATAAGGGGTAACTCCGCATGTACTGCAGATTCTAGCAATGTGGCTTTGTTTTGAAGCTCTCAGCAGGCTTTAGCAGGAGTACGCTGCAATGACTGGAGTGGTTATGAAGGACAGCCAAAGCTGACACTCAGAAATAGTATGAAGCCAAGTTGGAGCAGGAGCAAGGGTCACAGCGGTAGCCAAGGTCATAGCAGGCGGGCAACGAGGTACATAGGTGTAGGCAGTAGCGTGGTCATGAATGAAGTCAAGGTCAGGAACAGGTGGGAGCAGAGGTACAAGCAGAATCTAGCATCCAGGTCAGTAACAAGCCGGGTCATCAACAGAAATCAGATACAGGACACACAGGAAAAGTTGAAAACCAGTCAGCACTGACAGTGAGCAAGAACATCCCTTAAAAAGTCCGCCTGGTGCCAGAAACTGTAGCCTGCTCCCACATGCATCCACAGGAATGCACCTGCATGCCCATTAGGCGATGGACCTATGCACATTCTATGAGTGACACTATGTGCAATGCGTATATTTTATGCGAATGTCTACACTCTAACCACCTGGTACCCTTTCAGTGTTCTATGGAGGAAAATGTTCTGTGTCAGCATCCCTTTAGAACTGTTTACCCCCTATGTTGTATCTTACCAATAATGAAATTCCTATTGCAGGGATTTTCCTAAAACCTTACTTATCTTAGTGCAGAGATCTGAAAAAAAAAAACAATGAGCTAAATCTCGCAAGCAGAAAATGACATTTCTGGGGGGTTCTTGTAAACCAGTAGAGTACAGTAAACTCCTCCAGGTCGCCATGTTTTGCATTGAATTTTTCTTCTTAAATATTTTTATTGTTTTAAACAAGGAAATGCCTTTTAAGTACACAAGAATAAATACAAGTCACAAAGCTCACAGTAGTATAAGTAGGAAGGCCTTACCATTGCAGTAATTGTGCTAGTGAGAGAGAAACCTGTTATTCAAAAGGTTGGCGAGCCAAGAGAGTAGGGAGAACTATTATGGATATATACCTATGAGTGGATCATTTATGTTAGGTAAATGCACCCATCAGTTGGCTGGTGTCTATGGTTAGGGGGTGAGGCCACTCTGAGTAGCCAGATCTGATAAAGCAGACATAGGGATGGGTGTCATGTGCAAGATGTAGGTGCCCTATACAATGTAACCATCAAAAATAGTGACTAGTGGGGCTAATGGTCTTCAAGTCCATCCAACTGTAGATATAAAAAGGTGACAAAAAGACAGTTTCTATTTCAAGCAAGGCAGGGCCTTCTAATAGAAAGAATAAGCAAATCCTCAGGAAGCATATAAAGAGGAAAAGAGGCGACACTGAGTGTAGACTGCCAGATAAATGCATTTTTATTCTGCTGTTATAATACATTATCCGACAGTCTACACTCAGTGGCACCTCTCTTCCCTCTGCTTACAGGTCTGATAAAGCAAAAGAAAGGAAGAGAAGAGAGAACAGGAGAGTGGTCCCTGGGGGTCCAAAGGAAATCCAGCACCAGGGGAAATAAGGATGTAGGATGTGGAGATGCAGAGGAAGAGGGAATCATCAAAATGAGAAGGTAAGACGTGGGACCCATGGCTATCAAAGTTTAGTGTAAGTGGTCAGTTCCTATCTTGTGAGGACAACATCAATTATAGCATGGGTCACCACTTTAAAGTAATCCTGTTGATTTGAAATTTTTTACAGTTTTAGCAAATATTCAGTGACTCAAGTTAAAATGGAAAGGAATGTTTCAATAGTATTCAATTACAAAATTGCGTGTATAGCAATTTTTATATGCGATATTTATTTTAAAACAAAAGTGGAATTTCAACTTTAATTTATTTTAGGCTTTCTAGATGCAAGAAATAGCCAGGGGTTTGCAAGGGGGTGTTTGGGAATGGTTCAAAATAAAGGTTCACAAGATCACCAGATTATGCTGCAAAAAGCAACTGGAATAGACTCATTTTCTAATGCATTACCTGGATAAAATCTCAAGTTGCAAACATGTAGACTGTGCGCGCTGCATATATCTCAAGCCTTGATTTTCAAGTTTTGATCAGTAGTTTGCCTTTAATGCTTACTTCCATATGCCAAATCTTAATAAGGATTTCTTATGCATCTGAACATAAATTAAACTTTTTGTACAGAAATTTTCAAGAGATTAACCTGTCGAAGAAGATAAAGCAACTAAAGAAGTGGTAATAGCCGACAAAACCGTTGCACTGCCACCCTTCCATTCAACATTATTATCTATAGCAGCAGACTACCTCAGAGACTCTAGTTTATCATTCATACTGAACGACCAGCATGAGATGACCTGCACAAGAAATACACTTAGGGCAAGTGGTCCTTTTGATCTATATGTTCTTGAACATCACAGGACGTAGACTCCAGTTGCGTGCAAATAAATTGATTCTGGCATGGGGCTTTATAAGTTTGATTACCTTAGAGCTTCTGTGTTAGACTTGTTGAGATAAAGTCCTTTCTCAGAAACTAACATTTTTCCTTACAAGCTGAGAGAGCCGGAGAGAATGCAAAAGTAATTTAGTCAGTCCTCCCTGAGCACCGAATGAATTCTTGGGTCACCAAAGTCAATCCTTATATACTGTCTGTATTGATAAAGCCTCATTGTTTTTTCAGGCAATTTTTGTAACTGGAGCCTTCCGTTGGATAAGCAACCATAATTTAAAGGGTGAATTGGCCTGGAAATGTGTAAGTTAACCCTTTTTTTTTTAAATTATATACATTTTGCAAAAATACTGTATATTATGTTATTTGATCAACAGTAAGTTTGAGGCAACTATTGCTAATGAAAATAGTGAATGATCCTTATATACAGTGTATATCTATATTTTTTCTGGATATAGTAGGGAAGGGATAATACCTCTGTATTGTTTTGGGAAGATTATCCTTCACTTCCCATTCCATAGACATTTCAGGAAGTGAGAGTAAATCTCTCTAAAAAGAGGGAAAGTCTTCCTTAACTATCCAGTCAGATTCTTCGATCTCCAACCTTCTTTTTTTAGATTTACCAAAACTATGTAGTATGAGAACAATCCTAAACAATCCATTCAATTTGTGATTATTCAGGTGGGCCTTTTGCTCTACATAATTGAGAGTAGATCTAAAGCAGGGGCGGACTGACCATTCGGAAACTTCCCGAGGGCCTGGGTCAGTAGGGGGCCCCATGAGATGCCCCTGGTACCTTTCATAGGCTTTTTTGGGTGTGGTTTGAGTGTGGGTGAGGGCACAGGGGCCCCATGATCCCCTATTGCCCGGGAGTCCTATGAGTTGTCAGTCCGCCCCTGATCTAAAGTGTATTTATATTGTGTATGACCAATTTTAGACAGTTGTCACTAGAACAAGTGCCACCATTCGTAGATTCTCCCTCCATTTCTACGCTGGTGACAACTCAAAATTTTGGAGCTTACCTCATTCTCAGTGCTGGTGATGATAATTACCAGGAGAAATAGATTAAATAGATAGAGTAAATTTCCCCAGCAGGGATACAGGCAAAAAAAAAAATGACAGCATCGGTAATTTCCTACCATATCCCCCCCTCCAGAAAAAATGGCTTTAGTCCCTCTTTAAAACTGGAGTCAAAGTTAACCCTGGAGTGGGGCTTCCACTGTACTACAAGGAGTAAATGCTTGTTTTTCAATGTGATATTGAAGAAGATGAATTACTTACCAAGTTCCTTGCTCCCCTGGTAGTTGGCTCTTTCCTTTGCTCTCTGACACTCCTGAGATGTGGACAGGTCCTCACCTACAATGCAGGAATAATGGCCCTGGTATTGTACATGATGACATAGGAAAACTGTGACCAAAGCCAAGAGGGGCTTTGCAGGACTGGTCTTACACAGAGGATGTGCCAAATAAACATTTCACCTTATTCATTACAATGATGGAACCATTCATTTTGCTTGTCTTTTTTTTTTTTTTTTTTTTTTTAATAAAGGACTTATCAAAAACTGTTGTGTTTTTATTCACATTTTACACTTTTTGGGGGAATGGGTAGGGGTACTATGCACCGTGTACTCATTCACAAGGGGGGGTGGGATCTGGAGGGCTGGTATGGAACCTCACGCACTCCCCCCACACACACATTTTTAGGAGTTGAGCTTCCCCTTAAAGGTCCTACCAGGCTTAAAGGGCCTGGTATGGCTTTTAGGGGGGAACCCCCACACAATTTTTTTTTTTTTTTTTACTGTGGGGTCCATCCTTTCCTTCCTACCAGACCTAAAGTGACCCCATGCTGTTTTTGTTTCTCAATAAAAATGTAATT